AAGGAAGTGCCATATGAGAAGAAAAATTAGAGCACAGCACATCCAAATGAAAATTCTGACAATTTTTTACTCTAAAAGTTTACCTCAAATATTTGTTAGTCGAACCAGAAAAATCAAGTGAAATATTTTCTGTAAGCTTACAATTGCTTCTATTCTCACCAACTTTGTACAAACATACATACATACATATGTACACTACATTGTAATATTCAATGTACTATAATATTGTATTTTCGAGTGGTGTGTATTGGTTGCCGCAGTGGCAGTACTCGTAGCAGTGGCAGCTACAGCAGCACTCGAAAAATGCTTTTGCACTCGCATCGAAACGTTGCGGCGATGTAGCCGTTGATGGCAAAATTGCATTTTGCAGGCACCAAAAATAGCTCAAGGATTATAAGCGAATGCCTATACGCTGAAAGTTGGCATGTTTATGAGACCGAGTAAATTGCTCGATAAATATATGTACACATGTATGTATGTATGTATGTGTGCTCCGGTGTTCGAGGCAAGCGTGGGTGGGTGTATACAGATTCCACTCACAGCCACATTGTTGCGATTGATGGGTGATTGGAGGTGACTGCGGCCGGCAAAACGTCTTCAACGAAGCTATGGCGGTGTGGCATTGTTGGTTTATTTGCTCGATTTGGCAGTGATTGTCGACTGAGCTGCTAGACAAGCAGGCAAGCAAGCAAGCAAGCAAGCAAGTGAGTGAGGGGGCGAAGCGGCGAGCGAATGGCTAAAATATTGTTTATGTTTATTAATAAATACATACATACATACATACATATATTGTACATATAATAAGTATTTGACTGTGTGTGTGTAATTTGTGTGATTGCTTGGCCTGACACAAATTCAGTAAAGATTGATTGAATGCTGATGTTGATGAGCAAATTATGCAGTGGTTGCGATGGTGGTGGCGGCTGGCAATAAGTAAGCAGTTGGGAGCCGAGAAAAGTGGCCTGGTGTGGCGTGGCGTGGCGCGGCGTCTTATGGCCGCCGAATGTGGCGCAGCGGGGCGCCTAACGGCGTAACGGAAGGCCGGCAATTAGCTTTGATAGACGTGCAAAAATATTTACGTTCACCTCTTATGGATGGAGCGAGCTAATGAAGTGCGCGCGCGAATTGTGAATTTGAAAGTAGACAGAGGAGGATATGAGGCGCACTAATAGTGCTTATATAAATATGTAAACTATTTAATAGTAGATGTATACACATATATATATATATGCTACTGTGTATGAGTGCTTGAATGAATGCGTGATTGACTGGATAAAGTGGTCGTTTGAGCTATTTAGGAGTAATTTGTGGATTTGCAATTTAATTGCTTTTGAAATATTTTGATTGATGAATTTCATAGAAACGGAGTGGAATACATACATATATACATATTAACATAGAAGACACTGCAATTGAACGTACATACTATACATAAGTGCTCACATTCATGCGCGCCTAGGAATGACACTGCACTTATTGTCTATTACCTTGTTTATACCGACACATAAAGCGCTGTGACTCAGTTCGGTGTGCATAAACAAAATTTTAATGCGCGTTGAAATCGTAGTGTATTGACTCATATTTGTTTGCGAATGCTGAGGATTTTCTGGGCCTCTTCGTATTTAATTTTTTCTGGGTTATTTTTTTGGGATTTTTTCTAGAGTTTTTTTTTACTCTGCGGCATTTTCCGTGTTCAACTTTTCGCGAAGTTTTCTGCGTATTTTTGTAATATTTTTCGGAATTTTTTCAAAATGTCCACAAACTTTTGCTTTTCGGGGCTCTTCTATTTTAATTTTCCTAGTTTTTTTTTGGGATTTCGCGGATGTTTTAGCGGGTTTTTAAGTGTTTCATTTTTTTGGGAGCTTTCGTGTTTTTTCGGGATTTTCTGGAATTTGTTGTAATTTTTTCGGAACATTTACAAAAGATATACTAGGATACTCGATTATTCGCCTTTTTTCCCAAAATCGCGTTTCGAGTTACTCAAAAATTTGAAATTTGAAAAAAAAAAACGGTTGCCGATATTGAAACAAAACGGATAAAGCGGTTTCAGATAATAAAGAGAAATATACAATTTGGATGTTACTTGTTGTTGTAGATGTTTTTTTTTTTATTTATGGATCACTATTATAAAATCACATAACGCTTGGCTCATTTGTGCAATATTTAAAAAAAAATTCAACAAACTCTCGTACAAATTTCGAACTTTTAAAAATTCTAAAAAATCAATCGACATTTTTAGCCATTTGAAACGTGTACTTTATTCTACTACTTAGAATTCAATGGGCTACAAAACTGCATACTCCGAATTTAATTAAAAAACTCGACACTTTAACGAAAATCTGTAGAGTTTTTTTTTTAATTGCATAAATTTTTAAGGCAGTGTCACTCGATTGGTACATTTGTACAGATTTGTAAATTTTTATATTGGGCTATTGGTAAAAAAAAGTGGGACATTTTTTTTGCATTCAAAAGATTGGTACAATACAGCGATGTTCTATTGAAAAATTTCAATAAATTAATTTTCGTGATTGGGATAGTGAAAAATATTTTGGGTGTTCAAACAATTGGGATACGATTTACACCAAATTTTAGCAAATACCCAATTGTGTAACATTGCTTTTAAACTTGTATTTATACGGATGTTGGTAAAGAACGAACTATAAAAAACTAACAGAAATTAAATAACAACAAAAATAATATTTTAAAACTTGTCAAAATTTGGTGCGGATATAATAAGTTGGCTATGATTACTCGGCCGTGCTATCATAGTAGCACAATGCCACTCATATTTGACTTACAAACAAACTACGGGCAGGAATCTCAAGATTTCAACCCTGTTTATAAGAAAAATTTTATTTTTATCAGGATTTTTCTTTTAATCAAAATATGTTGAAATAACAGTGAAACTAAAAAAAATTTTGCTTTTTGTCGGTTTTGAGTAGCGTCTACCGCCGTAGCCGAGTGCGTAGAGATGCTACTCGGGAAACTCCTGGTTCAATTTCTGGTTCCCGCAATATCAACAGAAGTTTTTTCAAGCAGCTGTTGCCCCTCGGCTGAACAATGATAAACCTCCTAGTGTACTTCTGTCATACAAAAATCAGAATGCGAATGCGAAAAGAAGCTCGGCCAAGTACGTAGAAAGCGTTTAAGCGCCAAGCATTCCTTTAATGGAATCAAATATGATATGCTGTTCATCCTCAAATAACACCTAGGATATAATTCTGAAACTAATTTGGGGCTTCTCTTGAACTGCAAGACTTCCAATAACCGAAAAGTTTTATTTTGACGCAAATTTTTTGGATGAAAAAAAAACGGTTTCTTCGATCAAAAAATCCGGTTTATTCGATATTCGAAAAATCAAGATTTCAAACAAAACGCCTATACATATATTTCCAAAAAACTGGTGGAAACCGGTTTGGAAAAACCGAGTCAATCACCCTACAATATCAAAAAAAAAAAAATCGGGGTTTTCGGGGCTTTTCTATTTTAATTTCCTTAAGATTTTTTTTGAGATTTTCCGGTTTTGTTTTTTACTTTGCGGAATTCTCCGTATTCTAATTTTCGAAAACTTTTCGTTGGTTTCGGAAATTTTCGTATTTTTTCGGAAGCTTTTAAAAAATATAAACCAAAAAATCGAGTTTTTCTGAACTCTTTTTTTTTTATTTTTCCTAAGAAATTTTTAGCGATTTTTTGGTTGTTTTTTAAGTTTTTGAACCTTGCCGGACTTTCGGGGGTTTTCAGGATTTTCTGAAATTTTTCGAAAAATTCTTAAATTTTTCCGGAACTTTTAAAAAACATAAACAAATAAATAGGTGTTTTGAAAAGTTTTCTAACATTCTTTTATTTTTTTTTAATGTAAAAAACATACTAGGTACTATTTCTTGTATTTATAAAATTCCAGCTTATTTTCGAATTTCGATTGCTGCTATTCTACATAAATACCCTGTATTTACCGTTTTCGGGGAAAACAAATTTCTCAAGCACCCTTATGACTTTTACTTTCTTGCCGAAGCCGTGACAAAGGTGTTGCCAAACTCGCTCAAAGTGGCCTTTACGACAACGCTCTCGACCAAATGCAACAACCCTCGCATTTATGTACTACGTCCTTACTAGAAGAGCAACATTTTTAGTAGCAAAAATTTTAGTACCCAAAAGTTTGAAGAGACTTGAGAACAGCAAAAATCCACTTCAACTGCAAGCAGCCATCAACATTTTTATGCTCATGCAAATGGGGTATAAAAATTTTGCATTCATTTTCATGGCGAAAATCATGCGAATGCATATGCTAAAAATATTAAAATTTATGCGCACATGTATGTATGTATGCATTTTGTGTGCGTGTGTATTTGTATATTTTTGTGTATTTGTGTTTGTATGGACATTATCTTTTATCGCACACTTTTAAACATTTTGGTATACTGTTTATGACACTGTTAAATTAAATTTACGCTTAAATAATCGTTTTGCTCTTTTTTCTTTGCCTGTCGTTTTTTTTTTTTGCAGCCATTTCACTGCCGCCTGCTGCCGACAAATGCTGTTGATCGCTCCCAAATGATGTGCAACAGTGTCATTGCCACTGCCATTACGCGAGCTACTGCTACTGCTACAACTGTTGCTGCTACTCCCACTCAAACTGACACTGCCACCACTGCCGCTAACACTGCCAACAACAACAACAACAACAATAAACACAACACTAATACCAACAACCAAACGTGTACGCGCGCGTGTGTTGGATAAGTGAACTGCGGAACGCATAGACGCGGAAGGCGCTTGGCGCTTATGCGCTTGTTTGTGCGGTTTTGCGTCCAGCAACTCCCACGACAACAATAAAAAAGTGTGCGAAACGCAGCGCATAGCAATCCCTGTCGTATACGTACTTAGTTATTATTTTTACCACATTTTTTAATTTTTTTGTTTTTTTGTATTCGCTGTGCTGAAGTTGCTTGTGGCTGTGCGACGTTTGTGCATCCATTTGTTGTTGCTGTTGTGCTACGCTGACTGAGTGTGTTGGTCGCTCGCGTATAAAATGAAAATCGACTGTTCATGTGATTGCAATTGCAGCGACCTCGCCTCGTGCAGCACCAACATCACCGACCGCCGTCCGAGCGATATCATGGCCAATGGCGATTGCTATCGCCGATTATCGAATTCATCGTCCGCACTGTACGGCAGTTGTCCACAGCTAACGCAACATTTAGATTCCACGCAACAACAGCAACATTGCGCACACATTAACCCAGCCGCAAGCGAAGCAGACGAAGCGCAACAAGCGCAGCAGCATCATTATCAACAGCAACAGCAACAGCAACATCAACAACAGCCACGTCAATACTCGAGTTTAGTACGTCCCCGCCAGTCGCGTAGTCCAGTGCTTTGTCAGCGGTGTGCTGTGTGACGAAGGAATAATCAAGCCTGCACACACCCCGAAAGGTCGACAGTCACTTGCGCGCTCACATTTACAGCCGCGCGCAGTGTGAAAGGTAGCGGCGGCAACAGTAAGGCCGCAAAAGAATCGAGCGCAGTAGGCGCAGCGTTAGCGAACGCAACAAAAGCAACAACAGCGACTGCGCCCACCGCCTCCTCCTTAGCGTTTGTATCGTACAAGCCCGCAACCGCCTCTAGAGCTTACAGAGCACAGCAATTGCAACAGGAATTGGCATCGTCCATTGCCACGCCGGCTTTGACAGCGTCGCGCTACTTATGTCGCAGTTGTAGATTCAATAATCAACCAGTCACTTGGTGGGTTTCCTGCCCACGCCTCTCCAATTTAGGCTCCAGCGTTAGTTTGCAACCGAGCGCTGCCGCAAACGAGGAGCAGCCAGCAAATACACAACCACAGCCTTTGCAAGCGCCGCAATTGTCACGCGACGCCATCGGCTACAATTATCAGCAGCGCCCTTTGCCCTTGCCGCCGCAGAGTAGCGGCGCGCCGTGTTCAGATACAGCATCGCCTAGCCGCAGCAACAGCAATATGGCTACATCCGCGACGTCCGCTGTCTCCGCCGCCACCACCAACGCAGCAAAGAAAACAGTCACGCGCCACCAACTTTACGGATCAAATCGTTGCCTACGGCAATCAAGTGTTCATTATCCACTCGATCATAGCACACAGCAGCCGCCGCCGCCGCCGCAGCCACATGTGGCTGGTCTCGGTGGCACACTAAAGCGTCAGCAATGTGCACTTTCGCATTCGCGCTCCATCACGGCGCTGCACAATATGGATCTCTATGGCAGCTATGCAACACTGCCGTCGGCAGGCGCGGCCGGACCTTTGGATACGCCACAGCGCTCATACTGTGCACGCCATTTGCCGCCTGCTGGTGGCGGTTTGGGTGTGGGTGTGGGTGTCAGTGGCAGCCACACTTGGCATCCCCCCAGCCAGCAGTATGCAGCTGCAACGCCTTGCTGTCACCTCTACAATGCAAATCAAGCGGCTGCAGCAGCAGCGGCGGTGACAGCGGCGCCCGCTTGCATGTATGGTGGCGTTGGCGTTGGCGTTGGCGCTGGCCACACCTGCCAACAGCAGCAACAGGCGCAACCGCATCAGCAGTACCCACGCGCCGCGCTGCTACACGACAGTCATAAGCCTTTGGTGCCCAATGGCTATTATTTTGGTGAGTTGGATTTTGCTGTACGCTGATGGCGGATTACTGCGCAGAGATATGTAGATTTTTTTTTTGTTTTGCTTTTGGTCTTGTAGGCTATGAACATGGCACACATTTGACCGATGAGGAGGACTCGGCATTTCCAGGCTTCCATGACCGCGAGTTTCACATGCTGCATCGGAATATACCGGCGCTGCGGCGTACTGGCGTTGATACAGCGGGGATTAGACAGGTGAGTTCACACTTTGGAGATATTGGTTTTCGCTTTGGTATTGTATTTTCAAACTTAGTTTTCATGAAAATTGCAAATAAAAGTTTATACCTAGCCGATTTCAACGTTAGATTTTTATATGACGAAAGTTTAACAGAAACTATTTTGAAAGATTTCGTATATATAAGCGCCATTTAGAGACAATATACTCAATAAGCTTGGTAGGATATATCACACCTGAGAATACTGAAACCTTAAAGATGCTTTGTGTCACATTCCTAAAAGTAGTCTGATCGAGGAATTTCTAATCCGAAAGGAATAAATTAAGTGTATAAGTCCATGTAAGCCATAGCCAGAGAAGCCAAATCTCTCTTTGTGAACAAATTAAATAAGTTCATATGAGAAAGCTGTACGATGGGCTATAATCAGCTTTAATGATTCATCAGTTTCGTCAAAGCACTTGGATTTATCGTTGAATCTATTTATGTTAGTAACAATACATTTGGAGATCTTCGTAAAACTTTGGATGGAGAAACTCCCTTCCTTATTCGTGCCAGTGCTGGGCACTTGCAAAGATAATGTAGGACCGTATCCTTACATCCCTCTAGATTTCAGCTACGGCACCGTGGTTTGAAGGGAAACCCATTTTGGCTGCATGTTCGCTAACGGGCAAATGTCTCTTTATCGTGGTAACGAAGCTGACTTTACCTTTTCTCGATCTCTTTAGAAGTTTCTTTATGCTTGATTTGTCGTACTGCATCCATATACTTCTTCCTCGCAGTTTGCTGGTTTGAAGCTTTTTCCGATGAGTCCGAGTGGACGGTTTGTTGTCTGTGGTTCGGATTCATCAAAAGATGTGTCGACCTTAGCCAACTCATCAGCCATCTCATTACCGTGTATGTATATTCCTATGGCCGGGAAACCCGATGAGAGAGACGCATACTGATTCTGCTGCCGAGCTTGACGGTGAGGGAAGACCAGGAGTGCCGCTTGGCTATCTGAAAAAATATATACTTTTTGTACCCCTACGCAGTTTCTCTCAAAGGCTTTGCATGCCTTCTCGATTCCCAGTACTTCCGCTTGGAAGATGCTAGCAGAGTTTGGTAGTCGGAATGAGAAAGAAACATTCAGCATCTCAAAGAACACTTCGCACCCACGAAACAGTCTATTTTTGCACCCGTCAGTATAGATTTCAGTGGAAATCTCCTCAATTATCCTGCCCCAGTTTGGGTGCCTTTATTAAGGCAGCATCAGCAAATTACTTAAAAGTACTTACATTTCAATAAATAACTAATTCAAAAATGTCAAAAATAGCATCTAAAGATATTTGGTACCATGTCCCCACCAAAGAGTTGACCATCTTAAATCGAACTTAACCACATCACTAACTATTGCTGTCCACACTGCGGTTTGAGGTTTATAAAACAGTACAAATGTAAAGACCAGTGGTCGGACGTCCAAAACTCGATTCAGGACTAAATCGCTGCAGAAGGCGGAGCAAAAACAAATTTTCGGTACTAGATTGAATTTTTTATTTTCTTTTCTGACATTAATTGTTTGACTTAAATATTTTCTATTCATGCAAAAATTAAAACGCGAGGGCATGTAAGGATAATATGTTACATATTTATATAATTTTTGGCATTTTCTATAAAGTAGAACGTATCTTATAACGTATAACACTTAATTTTTTAAAGAGCAATAGGATCTAAACCTTCTCAACATTATATAAATTTCATTCTACATATATTTTTTAACAACTTAAGTAAAGTTCTGCATCCGCCAATTTCTACAGCCATACATCAAAAATTTCCGAAGTTACTTTACTGACACATTGCTATGAGCGAGTTACTTTTTAACAGTGAGATTTGGCTAACTTTCACTGAAACTGGTGGTGAACACTCAAAAACGGTCCCAAAAGGGGCATAACATAACTAAAAAAATTGAGTAGATTTGAAGTCAAGCGGAGTAGAGGACTAGATTTCAAATTTTTTCAAAAAGAGGAGTAAATCTAATCTGATCTTATTGAAGTCCAAACACAAGTAGGGAACGAATTTTTTACATTTTAACGCTAATGACCCACAGATGGCGGGAAAACACAGGGTTGCATCAAACTTTCGACGTGGTTTCGACTTGGTTAGCTTTTAACCATCTCAGTGAAATGGTTAAGTGCTGTCATTTTAATATGGCGAAACTACGCTAAATCAAGTGGGTTATCGGGATAACCAACTCATTAGCCATAACTACGTGGTTAGTTGCGGTGGGGACATGGTATAAGAATTTTTAAAAAAATATTCTAATCGAAAATAATTACATATTTAAACATCTTTTCATTTCACTGGCAACAAAGAGAGCGGGTTCAAATCACAAAAATGTACATATCGATGGCTGAGTGGAAGATCAACCTATCTCGGCAGCAGCCAGTTCAAAATGCCCTATCTCAGAAAAAGAAAAAAATTAAGTAATATAAGAAGAAAATATTACTTAAAAAGTAAACAAAATTGAAAAAAAAACTTTTTATTTTTAAAACGATAATATGAGATACTATAAAATTAAATAAAATGAAGTAAATATATTTTTCGTTTTAAAACAATAAAATACAAAATTTAACAGAAAATTAAATTCACAAAAATAAATAATTAATTATTTTATAAAAATTAAATTAAGCAAAAAAAATATTTTTCTTTTTTAAATAATAAAATCTAAAAATTAAAACAAAACTAAACTAAACAATGAAATAATAATTTAAAAAAGTAAAAAACGGCCTCGAGCTCAATAAAATTGTTGAAAATGTTGTAATAAAGAAATAAATAACGAAAGTTCCTAAGAATTGAAGGAAATTAAAAACTATATGCCTTTTTTCTAAACATTAAGATCTAAGAATTAAAAGAAATTAAAATAAGAAAGAAAAAAGGCTTCTAAAAATTAAATTAAATTAAAAAAATCTATTTTTCTTTTTAAAATAATGAAATCTGAAAATTAAAAAAAACTGTAGATAAAAAAAAAATAAGATTCCGCTGCGTGAGGACTCGAACTCGCACCGCTCGAATGGCACGCATGCGCTCTGCTCACTCAGCCATTGCGACTGTTGGAGCGACGCGAGCTAAATTATATACAAACACTTTCTCTTAAAATAGCTTTTAACCACGAGTGCTGAATGAGAGAACTTTTTTTTAACATTCTTTCATTTGTCTTACGAAAGACCTTTTACTAGATATCTTAGCCAGAATTTCCCTGTAAAACAAATTAAATATCAGTTTATGTTTGAGCTCAAAATATAGCCCTTATTAGTTCTCAGAGTATCGCTTGGAGACAAAACAGTTTGCTTTTAATCAAAAGTACAAACACTAGTTAAAATTCCACTACTTTCATTTACTTGTAGTACTTTTATCCGGATGGCGGTTGGGGTTGGATCATTTGCGGCATAGCATTTTTGGTCCACATCTTAACAACGGGTCTGCAACTGTCAAGCGGACTGCTGCTTTTCTACGCCATAGAACATCTACGAGACTCGAACGGCATTGGTAAGCGATTGTTTTGTTTTATTAGAAGTCTCAGACCTCTTGCTCTCCTTAAAGCTTATAGTATTTATTCTCTTTCA